CACTTTAGAAGCACTGTCAACGCGAGTGTCACTCGATCCGCGCGTTACGACGTTTCTTCGGTAACGTTCCTGCGGCAAGTCTGTAAAAAGAAATATCAATTAGTGACAAAGCATTCTTTAATTTGGAAGACCGTAGCGTTAAATTTGCAATACATTTGCGCGTATTTCAAGTTGCGACAAATATCCAGCATTTTTCACCGTTAACTCGATTCATTTACATATATATTCGACAAGTTTTTATACGAATGTATCAGTTTTCAATAACGAATAATTTTATTCAAGTTCTTTTTTATTAATCGGTAAAACAACATATGTTAAATTATCAAAATTTACATAAACACAAGGTGTTGTAAGAGCATTAACAGGAATAACATAGAAATTAGAGATTAGAGATTCGTACGACATATTATTATCTATATATTTCAATATTTACAATTATATTTCAAATACAGTCACTTTTGCCAAACTTGAAATATATATCTATTGCATTTCTAGTACAACGAGTGTACACCAGTTCAGCTATACATATGATACGAAATATTCGCAGTAACTTCAGACTCGAAACAGCTTTGAATTTGTCGCAAATGTATGCTGCGCATCATTCATTTATTTTAAATGACATCTTGAAATATAGAACAAAGAATTTATTTATATAAGAATTATGCCTCAAGTAAAAAAGTTTGTATTGATTCGGTGGCTTTAAAGCGAGCAAAAAAATGTAGTAAAATTATCAGTGATACCCAAGAAAGACAGACATATAGACAAAATTGTAAAACTAACATGGAAATATTTTAAAACACAGAAAGAAACAAAGGTTCCGGCTAAAATTCTTGTTATAAGCGGTAAGTTATTATATTTATAATATTCATATTAACCCTTAAACACTTTGGATTTTTTGTGTGCGTATTTCTTCAAATACTGAGAAAGAAGAAGCTGCTGAATCAAAAAACTATTTCTTAATCAAAACTGCCACGTTTTGATATATAGATACAATGGTTTATTTTTTGAAAATAAATATTAAATTAACAAGTATTTAATTTTAACAAAGATTTAACGAACTGTACCATTTGTATATCGTAACAGTAATACATTTTTATGAATAATATACGATTGGAAAATAAAACGAATAATATAATTATAATATGATTGAAAAAATACAAGTAAATATAGTACGGTTAGTCAAATCTATCAAGTAAATAAAATATTTTGTTTGTGCAAAAAATATCAATTGACATGATTAACTGAATATTATATTTTATTTTGTATCAAGCGTAATAAGTAAAAGGATTACCATGTTCTTTAGAAAGCGATTATTTAATCCGTTTATAACTTATTTATTCACAATTTTAATAAATATAAATATTTGTAATCAATTTTGCATCATCTTGTTAATTATATTAATTTTCCTCGACATTATTACTTATTTGGATCAATTATACATTAGATAGCACAATAAAATTTACTATTTCCTAAATTCAATGTATCAATAAAATCATATTGTTGTAAATTACACAAATTTGTTAATATTATTATGCTTGTCTTAAATACGAAATAATTAAATTGAAAACGTGATTGTGAATTATACGTATTTAGTCAGGTTAACTTTGTTGCGTTTGCATTTCGATATTACTGTGTGGATGTGCTGCAAGCTGCAAACTGCAAGATATCGTGCCTTCTTCCGTTCAATGCAGAAATGCCAAA